AAATTAAAGAGCTAAATCTGCAAGATGCCATGCACCTCACGTTAATTCATGGTAATCCAGCACATTGTAAAAGCGGCTGAATTCCTGGATTCCAGCTTTAACTTGCTCTCCTGGATCTGTTACAAACAGTAAATAATAGTGCAGATGATCTATTTGGTATCCTGTTTAAGCATAGTCACGTTATCGAAGGGACTGTGTTTGGGCCAGAAACGCATTGGAGTAAAAATCTTACTCCTGGCTCTCATTGGATTGTATGCATGTGGATTCTCCAATCTGGGTCCCTTCCTTGTGCCTGCAGTTCCCGTTTTGTGGAGTGTTGCCATACCAGAGCCAGTGTGCCCAGTGACCATTTCTGTGACCCTTGGAAAATCCCTGGGTCTCCCTGCTAGGGAGATTCACTCTTTTCTTTGTCCATGCAACCACTGTCACAGGGGCTGATAGGAGAAATTTCAACATTTTGAGTTTATCACCAAAAATCGAATCTAGCAAGTGTCAGTCATCTCATTTCTACCACGTTTGACTGATTTTCTGTGTGATCAAAGATGAAAGCAGTTTGTTGTTAAAGTCCAATCTTTTTTTTAGGCATACGTTCTGCGTAAGTCCAAACCAACACAACGTGTGTATTGAGCCGTCTAACGGATGGCTGGAATATGTGCCAAGCATCTGTATTTACCGCAGGTGTGGATTTACCTGATTGGGGGATGCCATATGGCAGGGGTGGGCAACTGTGGCCCTCCAGCTGTTGGCGAACTATAAGTCCCATCATGCCTCTGCCTTTGGGAGTCATGCTTGTAACTGTCAGTTTTGCAATGCCTCATGGGACTTGTAGTTCTACAACAGCTGGAGGGCCACAGTTGCCCACCCTTGCCATATGGGGTTTCCTGTAAACTGTAACAGAGTCTAGAACATTTTCCAGTGAAGAAGTCGAGGTATCGCCCAGATCTGCAAATATTTGCCTCTTGACTGACTACTAATAACGAGCAATAGTGGCGTACATCTGCTTCTGGACGTGCCAGGTCACGTTGGCTGTTTTTGCAGATGGTGGTGATGACACATCTAAATTCAAATAACTATCACATTGTAGTTATTAGACACTATTGATTTGCAGTTTTTACAAATCAACTTGGATCTTTTTCTTTTTTTTAAGTGTAGATATAGTTAAAGTTCTGTACAAGCCAAACAAACCTCAATGTGTTATATTAAAATTACTTTGACACTGTATATTTGTTCAATGGGTGTGCTGGGGCCTGGGCTGCGCAGACGGGGGCTGCGCCAGGGCCTGGGCTGCGTGGACGGGTGCTGGGCTGCGCGGACGGGGGCGTTCTCATAAATCACATTTTATTGAATATGCTACATTTATTTTAGATATCGCTTCAGATGATTTTGCAACTGCTGGATTGCATCATATTTTTCTGGCATCTTGTCATGGCCGTTATTCGGGACAGAGTACCGTTACCTAAAATTGCTTCTGGGTGTTGATGTGTTTTTGTTAATCCCTTTTTTCTGTTTTGCTGAGGAAGATGAGAGGGAAGAAAACTCTGGATTTTATAAATACTGCAGCTAGAGAAATCCTTTCCTGATACTTTGATTTATGATGTAATATATCAAATGCACTTTTTTAAACATATTTGTAACCTTTATTATTAGACAAATCTAGCAAATTTGTTTAACCTTTCACCTTATTTTTTATTTTTTTCCCCTGCTGTCCTTCGTAGAGCGGTGGTAGGTTCTGGGAAGTCTACTTACCTGCTTAGAAAAATTACAAAAAGAACACAAAACGTTGTATCCCTTATTAGCAATTACAGTGCCTTGAAAAAATATTCATACCCCTTGGAATTTTCCATATTTTCTCATGTTATAACCAAAAAATGTAAATGTATTTATTAGGATTTTATGTGATAGACCAACACAAATTATACATAATTGTGAAGTGGAAGGAAAATAATAAATGATTTTCAAAAGTTTCTACAAATAAATCTGTGAAAAGTGTGGCATGCATTTGTATTCAGCCCCCCCGGAGTCAATACTTTGTAGAACCCCCTTTCACTGCAATTACAGCTGCTAGTCTTTTTGGGGATGTCTCTACCAGCTTTGCACATCTAGAGAGGGACATTTTTGCCCATTCTTCTTTGCAAAATAGCTCAAGCTCTTGTCAGATTGAATGGAGAGCATCTGTGAACAGCAATTTTCAAAACTTGCCACAGGTCTCAATTGGATTTAGGTCTGGACTTTGACTGGGCCATTCTAACACATGAATATGCTTTGATCTAAACCATTCCATTGTAGCTCTGGCTGTATGTTTAGGGTCGTTGTCCTACTGGAAGGTGAACATCCTCCCCAGTATCAAGTCTTTTGCAGACTCTAACAGGTTTTCTTCTAAGATTGCCCTGTATTTGGCTCCAACCATCTTCCCATCAACTCTGACCAGCTTTCCTGTCCCTGCTGAAGAAAAGCATCCCCACAACATGATGCTGCCACCACTATGTTTCCTGGTGTGGATGGTGTGTTCAGGGTGATGTGCAGTGTTAGTTTTCTACCACACACAGCGTTTTGCTTTTAGGCCAAAAAGTTCAGTTTTGGTCCCTTATCTGACCAGAGCACCTTCTTCCACATGTTTGCTGTGTCCCCCACATGGCTTCTCTCGCAAACTGCAAACAAGACATTTTATGACTTTCTTTCAACAATGGCTTTCTTCTTTCCACTCTTCCATAAAGGCCAGATTTGTGGAGTGCGCGACTAATAACTGTCTTGTGGATGGATTCTCCCATCTGAGCTGTGGATCTCTGCAGCTCCTCCAGAGTTACCATGGGCCTCTTGGCTTCTTCTCTGATTAATGCTCTTTGTCCAGCCTGTCAGTTTAGGTGGATGGCCATGTCTTGGTAGGTTTGCAGTTGTGCCATACTCTTTCCATTTTTGGATGATGGATTGAACAGTGCTCTGAGATGTTCAAAGCTTGGGATTTTTTTTTTATAACCTAACCCTGCTTTAAACTTCTGCACAACTTTATCCCTGACCTGTCTGGTGTGTTCCTTGGCCTTCGTGATGCTGTTTGTTCACTAATGTTCTCGAACACACCTCTAAGGCAGCCTTTCTCAACCTTTTCAATGCAGAGGAACCCTTGACATAACTTTCCGGTCTCAGGGAACCCTGCTAAAAATGACTATATCTACAATTCATGATACATTAGTGTGATAGTCAGAGGTAAGAGTGCTCCTTAGACTTGTGGTCATTGGAAAGAATTACCCTCTTACAGATTGCTAAAAAGATCAGTGGTGTCATTGGGAACTTACCGGAGAGGCAAAAATTGCTGATTGCTCAAGGAACCCCTAGCAACCTCTGGAGGAAGCCTAGTTGAGAAATCCTGGTCTAAGGGCTTCACAGAACAGCTGCGATTAAATTACACACAGGTGGACTCTACTAAATAGGTGACTTCTCAAGGCAGTTGGTTCCACTAGATTTTAGTTAGGGGTATCAGAGTACAGTGGGCTGAATACAAATGCATGCAACACTTTTCAAATATTTATTTGTAAAAAATGTTGAAAACCATTTATCATTTTCCTTCCACTTCACCATTATGTACCACTTTGTGTTGGCCTATCACATAAAATCCCAATAAAATACGTTTTAGGTTTTTGGTTGTAACATGACCAAATGTGGAAAATTTCATGGGGTATGAATACTTTTTCAAGGCAAAGTACATTTACTAATTTTGCTCTTTGAAAAAAATATTTGTTGAGCAAAAAAAAAAATCCTCCTTTTCTGCCTGTGTTGTGTTTTTTTTTTTTTTTTTTTTTTTTCTTTGCAGTCTTGAGATTTTCCTTTAAAGACACAACAGGAAGCGAGAGGAAATCTTTTTAAAGTTAAAGGACCTTCCCTCTTAGCTGTTGCCAGAACAAGTGTCCCAATTGGAAAGAGTTCCTGTTTAGTGACAACTAAGTTTTGGATTTCCATTATGTTCTTTCCTGGTGATGATGGTCACCAGGACAAACAGACAAATAAACACTTGCAATAAACATTTTCCAGGGTAGGAATAGACACAAATAAAATCCTGACAAAGGTTCCTGTCCTTCCATACCCTATGCAGAATTATTCAGGAAAAAACGTTTTTACTTGCCCCAAAGCTGGCCATACAGTAGTAGATTGTTGGTCGAATGTTTGTATGAACATTTGTATGAAATTTCCCAGTATATTCAATGACATATGAATGTCAATCAAAAGTACTTCAAAGCTTAGTTTGCTTATACCAGTGTTCTCCAAACTGTTGCCCGAGGGCCGGATGTTGGCCTTTGCTTGCCTTTATCTAGCCCTCAGGGCAATATTCCTCCCACTGACATTAACAAGAGGGCATAATTCCTGCCACTGACACCAACAGTTGGGCACTATTCCTCTGATGGGGCATGGTCACCAACACCAGGACATTTTCTACTCTCATTGGCCACAGTCCGTCCCCTCTAAAGTCTGAGGGAAAGTAAACTGGCCCTTTGTTTAGAATGTTTGGAGACCCTTGGTTTATACCATTCAATTTTGAAATGAATTGACTTTCTCAAAGACTTTGACCCTGTTGATTAGAAAATAAGCCAAACGTTCTTGAAATGAAACATTTCTGACAGATTTCTACTATTGTATGGCCAGCTTAACTCTGTGTAGGCCATTTCTGAAAACCGAGTAATCATCAATGAAGGTGCTATCTGCATTCCTCTAAGTTTCTAGACTAGGTCATGTCGGGCTGGCAGGAATTTGCTAGGAGCGCCTATCAGAATATCAGAGATGCAGTCTTTCATCTCCCTTGTACACTTTTTTTTTTTTCCCCCCTCGTACATTCTTCTAAAGGCTTATCTGAAAGTGTGTGCTGTAAAATATTTTATTATTGCTGGCAATTAATTATCTAGGTATGAGTAGCAGCATAGTGGTTGTTTTAAAAAAGGAAGTCCTTAACCACTTGCCATCCGGACGCTGTATATAAACGGCCAGACGGTGGCAGTCCAGGGGCGGTTGCCGTTCATAAACTGTGCCCGCCATTTTGGACTGTGTGCACAGCACCCCTGGGAGTGCGTGCAACCCCTGTGTCCTCTGAACACAGTGGAAAACCGATCGTCGTATGGGACCTCCTGTGTGAGGTCCCGATCATGTGATCACTGATTGTCCAATCAGTGATCACATGCAGAGTAATATGTAAGATGTCACTTCTGACATCATTGCTTACTACGTGTGAAATCTGTGAATGATCACAGAGGTCACATGGTACAAGGCCCATGTACATGTGACAAGCTGTGACCAATCACAGCTCACACAGTAGTTCTCAATGGCTGCAAGAATGCAGAGAGGAGAAACGATTGCTTTTACAGCCTTTTGGGTGTAAAAGCAATCAGTGTAAAAAAAAAATGTAAAAAAAAATCTTCATCACCCCCCTCAAGTAGTACAGTGTCACCATGGTGACACTGTACTACTAGGGTGACAGTATGTAGAAAAAAAAACCGTAAATAATAAAAAAAAAAAAAAAATGTAAAACTTTTTTTTTAAAAAATTATAATTTTTAGTTATAAACTAATTTGTTTTTTTTTTTTTTTTTTTTTTACTAAAAAGATATCGGAATAAATTTTGGCCAAGATTTATGATGAATTATTATTTATTTGCAATTTTTAAAAACTTTTTTAAAAAAAATAGCAAAACAAATAAAAACCCCAGTGGTGAATAAATACCACCAAAATAAAGTTTTATCTGTCTCAAAAAAATGCAAAAACATTCATATGGGTACAGTGTTGCATGACCGCGCAATTGTCATTCAAAGTGTGATAGCGCTGAAAGCTGAAAATTGGCCTGGGCAGGAAGGGGGTGAAAGTGTCCGGACTGGAAGTGGTTAAGGACAGTCTTGAGGACAAGTCATAATTGGCCTTATGCTGAAATTTGAATGCGCAGTCTTAAAGTCTGTTTTTGGACTTTTGTGACCTCTGTCTACTTTCCCTCCCTTTGCCACACCTCAACCTAAATATTTTTCTGCATTCCGTCTTCTAGAGCATGAAAAAATGTAATCTGTAGCCCAGTGATGTCATCGGTCACTGGCCACAAGCATCCTTCTGTGGGGCCACTGCGAGGAGATATCTGCAGGGCAATGTGTAGGTGGATGATTCAGAATCTGCAGAATGATAGACAGCTAAGAAAAAAGACCCAGGAATAGGTAGATCTGGGAAGGGCAGCATCTCCTCCATCTCAGACCAACCTATGTATTAGGCTACGTTCACACTAGCTTTGTCGGCAGGCGTCAGACAGGTGTTTGTGAAGCATTTTTAACACTTCTCAAACACCTATGAAAATTCTGCACATGGCAGAACACAGTGCTGTTCACATGGAAGCGTTAGCGTTGCGGCAAACCTGTCGCCTCGTGTCGAGTCAGGAGGAGTTGGAAGCCTCCCATTCAAGTCTATGGTGCCGCTTGCGGAGCGTTAATACCATTTATCTTCATTATAGGAGTTTGTGGTGCAGTTTGAACGCTTGCAAACACCTATCAACCGCGCATCATTTATGGCAGCGTTAAAAACGCTTCCCAAACACCTGTCTAACGTCTGTCAAATGCTATTGGGGCGTTTGCAAGATTAGAAATAAAGTCAAGTGTAACGAGCCCTTATATCTGCAGCATCAATTTTCTGTAGTATGTTCAAATCTCTGTAGTATACAGCTCAAAAAATGTAAGGAACACTTTGAAAACACATCATCTCAATGGGGAAAAATCTCCTGCTGGATCTCTTACTGATATGGACTGGGTAATGTGTTAGGAATATAAATGCCCCATTGTTTCATGGAAAGAAAACTATCAACCTGCAGAGGACTGAATTCAAAGATACCTCGAAGATATTGCAGCAGGCTAGTCCATTTTAGTTTGTATTGCCCCATATGCTTCTCCTGCAGGGTTTCCCCCCGTCTCTGATCTTCTGCATGGTTTCCCCCCATCTCTGATCTTCTGAAGGGTTTCCCCCTGTCTCTGATCTTCTCCTGCAGGTTTCCCCCCTGTCTCTGATCTTCTCCTGCAGGGTTTCCCCCCTGTCTCTGATCTTATCCTGCAGGGTTTCCCCCCTGTCTCTGATCTTATCCTGCAGGGTTTCCCCCCTGTCTCTGATCTTATCCTGCAGGGTTTCCCCTCGTCTCTGATCTTCTGCAGGGTTTCCCCCCTGTCTCTGATCTTCTGAGGGTTTCCCCCCTGTCTCTGATCTTCTGCAGGGTTTCCCCCCTGTCTCTGATCTTCTGCAGGGTTTCCCCCCTGTCTCTGATCTTCTGCAGGGTTTCCCCCCCTGTCTCTGATCTTCTGCAGGGTTTCCCCCCTGTCTCTGATCTTCTGCAGGGTTTCCCCCCTGTCTCTGATCTTCTGCAGGGTTTCCCCCCTGTCTCTGATCTTCTGCAGGGTTTCTCTCTGATCTTCTGCAGGGTTTCCCCCCTGTCTCTGATCTTCTGCAGGGTTTCCCCCCTGTCTCTGATCTTCTGCAGGGTTTCCCCCCTGTCTCTGATCTTCTGCAGGGTTTCCCCCCTGTCTCTGATCTTGTGCAGGGTACCCCCCCCTGTCTCTGATCTTGTGCAGGGTTTCCCCCCCCCTGTCTCTGATCTTGTGCAGGGTTTCCCCCCCCCTGTCTCTGATCTTCTGCAGGGTTTCCCACCTGTCTCTGATCTTGTGCAGGGTTTCCCCCCTGTCTCTGATCTTCTGCAGGGTTTCCCACCTGTCTCTGATCTTCTCCGGCAGGTTTTCCCCCCCTTTTCTGATCCTGTCTTTCAGGGTCGTCCCCCCCCCCCCCCCCCCCCTTTTTCTCTGATCTTCTCCTGCAGAGTTCCCCCCCCTTTCCTGATCTTCTCCTGCAGGGTTCCCCCCCCCCTTTCTCTGATCTTCTCATGCAGGGTTTCCCCCCTTCCTCTGATCTTCTCCTGCAGGGTTCCCCCCCCCCTTTCTCTGATCTTCTCCTGCAGGGTTCCCCCCCTTTCTCTGATCTTCTCCTGCAGGGTTCCCCCCCCCCTTCTCTGATCTTCTCCTGCAGGGTTCCCCTCCCCCTTTCTCTGATCTTCTGCTGCAGGGTTTCCCCCCTTGTCTCTGATTTTCTCCAGCAGGGTTCCCCCCCTTTCCCTGATCTTCTTCTGCAGCTCCCGCCCCCCCCCCCCCCCCCCCCCGTCTCTGATATTCTCCAGCATAGTTCCCCCCCTTTTCCTGATCTCCTGCAGGGTCCCCCCTTTCTCTGATCTTCTGCAGTGGTTCCCCCATATCTCTGATCTTCTCCTGCAGGGTTCCCCCCCTTTCTCTGATCTTCTCCTGCAGGGTTTCCCCCCCTTTCTCTGATCTTCTCCTGCAGGGTTCCCCCCCTTTCTCTGATCTTCTCCTGCAGGGTTCCCCCCCTTTCTCTGATCTTCTCCTGCAGGGTTCCCCCCCTTTCTCTGATCTTCTCCTGCAGGGTTTCCCCCCCCTTTCTCTGATCTTCTCCTGCGTGGCTTCCCCTGTCACTGATGACTGTCTCTTGTAGGATATCCCCATTCTTCAGCCACACTTGTAGCATGTCTGCAGTCTCTTGACTGTAGCATTACGTATATTAATTATTATGTGTGGGTTTTTGGCAGTGTCGGGCTGTCCTTGATGGTCTGCAGTTTTCTTTAACATTGGTTGCCCATGGGACCAGCACCTGGCAGCACCCTGTGGCATCACTAAGCATACCTTTTTGGTACATAAAAGTAGAACTTAATCCAAATGTTTCTTTTTATTTTGGGTGGAGAAAGGGACACCCCTGTCAAAAAAAATAAAAAAAAAACTGACAGGTGTTCTAATCCCTCTCAATTCTGTCCAAAACTAAAATGAAAATGTTGCCTTTAGCTATACTTTGATGTGGGTGGCATGCTTTCTGTCAGTGCTACTTTTCACTACCAGCCTAGCTCAGTATTTGTACAGTTTGCATATGGCAAAAGACACATACTGCTGTTCTACTTTTAGATCTTCATGCAAAATCTCCAGGCAAACTGTTTTGCATCTAAACTGGTTATATGACTATCTGCCTAAATATTAAATCCAAAGATAGTAAATTTTTATGTGAAAGAGAAATTGGTGACGCAACCTACAGCCAGAGCTTGGAAAATGTGGTAGTTTATGATTGCTTCATCTAGGGATTCTTGGGTGCCCGTACATAGCCCACCTCCGGTCCTGTTCAAAACCTGATTGTGGATTAAGCCTTTTAGGGCAATCCTAGGGGGTGATGATGGTTTCTGATCATTTGAACCATTTTCCAATCTCATTTTGGACATCTGACCTTGGTCTATGGATGACAGTACTAGGCTGTGTGTGCACCCCATTGGTCCACCAGATAAGGCCCATGGCTGGCCCTGACTGTACAGATGTGGGCAGATGTCTTCCGATCATTTTCAGAAAAATATGACGATGTAATCAAGGTGTTGGTAAGAAATATATTAGTTGCCTATTTGGCCCTGAATTTCTGCGTTTGCACCCTACACACTGAAGACCCCTTGTATACATCGAGTTCATTAGCTGTCCTATTCTACCATGGAAAACTTGACCTGTATTCAGAAGTAAACCTTACAGCCTCGTTAGTGGTGGGATGGACATGTCCAGTGTTACAGAAGGACTAAATGGATTGCCTTTCTTGGGAGGGGAGGGGGGGAAGCTGCTCCTGTCTTCCTCCAGAGCCGATCACAAATTTTAAAGCTCTTTTGTGTAGGCTTGGACCTTGGCCACCTTCCATCAAGTTGTCCCCGGCCGCCTCTCTTCGAGTCGTGAGATATTAAAACCTACCTCCATGCTAGCTCAGATGAACTGCACATATTGGAGCTGCTTTACCTGCCAAATGATTTATATTTCTGCCCATCCAGTCTGACAGGGCTGGAGACCAAATTTTCTCTACTGCACTTTAACATTTACAGGTCTTATCACTCCCCTAGCCCATGATTTGGATGGTAAAAGGAGAAGCAGCAGACTGACGAGCTCATCTCTCTGTCACTCTGCTATCTCTTCTCTTCAGCATGCTCCTTTTTATCATAAGAGCACTCAGTACAGCACAACTATAATAATAAATAATAAAAAGGGCAAACTCAAGAGGTCCACTTATGCTGGCCATACAGTAAGAGATTTTCAGATGAGAATATGCGTAGAAACATTTGTACAAAAATTCTTTGTACATTCGATTAATGGACGAATGTCGTTGGAAAATTGCACTTTTGGTTTTAAAAATTCAGTTTTAAAAGACATTTTGTCATCACTGTGGTTAATATGAATGTTGATCTGACCCCACTAACAAATAGAAAAACAAATGAAGGTTCTTAAAACAACAATTTTGAATTTGTTTTTTTATCTGACTGGCTTTTTTTT